TTTTTTTTGGGAGAGGTTTTGTTGTTTGATGATAATGAAAAATTGATTGATGAAAAAGGCAAGGTAAGGAAGAGGAAGAAGAATGAATGGGTGCTTGTTGGGTTCTTTTGAACCGAGTATACTTGGGTTCGAAAGAATTTAGGGGTAGAAAATTTTATTAAAAAATTCTATTTTTTTTGTGGGTTTTGTTGTTTAACGATGATAATGAAGAATCTGGCAAGGGTAGAAATTAGTTGAAATGAATAGATTGGTTGAGATGTTAGAGATTGGTTGAGATGTTAGGGTTTGTAGAAGTTGAAGAAAGAGAAGAGGAAAGAGCGGAAGGGGTAAAAAAAAGGCTAAAAAAAGGGATATTTTTTTTGGTGGGATGAGTTGGAATGACCATATTATCTATTTTTGCCAACTTGTCACTTTTTGTGTAACATGTAATGCTTCTTCTGTCTTTTTCCGTCAATTAACGTGAAAAAATTAACAGAATGACCAAATCGAGGTTAAAATGATAAACAATAAAAACCAAATCAAGAGTTTTTTAAGTTTAGGGACCAAAATCAAAGGTTCATATAATAATTTAAAGACTAAAATGGGGTTTTAACCAAATATTTTTATTATCCAACTAAAGAAATTTATCCCCCATCCTTACCTTCCTCTCGTTCCCTCAAACCACAAACCAGACAACCTTTATTGGCTAGTAGCCAAACTTTGACTTCAATTTGTGTTTCCTATATTAGAAAAAAAAAAAAAAAAAACAGCTAATCAGTCAGCTCTCTGACTTTATTTTTTCACCAGACAGTCAACCCTATTGATCCCTAATACTTGACGGTGATATCTCGGTATCATTGCTATTTCCCACAACTTATATAAATAAATATAACTTTATAAGTTACAAGAAAATGAACAAGAAATTAAATTTAATGGGTTCCCCAATAACAAAAAATTAATCTTCGAATAAACATTTATACTTGCATCAGCAAAAAGAAATGTGAAAATTAATATATAATTATTTCCGGATATATCTTTGAAAAGGGCCTTCCTAGTATACCCTGTTTCTCATGCATGCATGTAATTAAAAGTATGATAAGAAACCCCTAAAAATCTCACTGATTTCACATTTTTAACATTAGAAATAATATTACGCATTTCTTATTCTGATATATCCCTTAATTAAGTAATTCAGTTTACACCACCACCGCCACCAAAGTAATTCAGTTTTGATGTACTGAAGAAATAATACACTCTTAGCAGAAGGTAAAATTGCAAAATAATAGAAAAGAAAATTAAACTTACACATGCGTTGGAATTTCTCTTTAAGCTCGGTCTTGTGCTCACTGTTGGTGATGCGGAAGTAGTAGTTAGGGTACGTGCTTTGGTCGACACAGTTTGGAGGAACTGCAGTGCCAATGGCCAACACCGTGGCAGGGCCTTCAGCGCGCTGGGCTTTGCGTACTTCCTCAACAGTCACCATAGTCGTTTAGAAGAAGAGAACCGGAATCTGTGGTGGTTGTAGCTGTAGAAGGTTATGGCCAAGCAGCTGCTTAATTTATAGTGATGTTGAGAGGGATGAATACTGGACGATTTTGTTGGAGGCCTAGGGAGAGGTTGGTTTTATATATAATAGGAAGGAGGAGCGGGTAGCTGGGAGTCACATGCTTAACCAAGGTTACATACTTACATATGACCTAAGAAGATGGCTGGCACGTGACATATATGATGAGTTTGGTGCCATATCTAACACCTCTTCAATTCCCCCACAAAATTGGGGCCGGGTTGGGGAACTGTCTGTCGGTCTAGATTTAATGGTGATTGCAAGGTTGTTGTATCGGATGGTTCCCGTTTTTTCAATCAATCATGGGAAAAGTAAAGTGAAAATAAAAAAATAACAATATATATGCATGGAACCGAAAATGATAAATAGAAGATAAAAAATTTCTTTCTTTTTCTTTTTTATGACTTAATTTCCAACTCTTCCCAAAAAATAATAACTAACATTATTACAAAGATTTTGTTACTCTCAATATTTTTTTATCTTAGATTACATAATAAAAAATAATTATTTTTTATTTTTTAATCCATTTCAATTACAAATTTTAAGATTTAAATTTAAAATTTTTTATTTTTATAAAAAAAATTGTTATTCAGCTACCCAAATCATTGGTCCCAACTAACTTTTTAGCTGTTTTATAAATAAATGTTTATTAAAAAATTTAATTTAAGTACAAATACTTAATAAGAATTATGTATAAAAAGGATTTTTTTTTTCAATTTTCTTCGATTTAATATATAAAATTAAGTAATCAAACTTTATACAAAAAATTAAATTAAAACAACTAATATACAATTAGGGACACGAGTTATATACTCTCTAAATTTCATAGATATAAAACAAGTTCTAGTGATTTAATTGGTTCACTCTCAAAACTTAGGAGCTATATTTTCTCCAATATAATAACCATAGGTATGTAGTTTGAATAGAAAATAACTACGAGAACTATTTTTGGTAAGTGAAAGGCCTATATCTATAGTCAAAGACTCTTAATTGGATTGAAGTGATGATGGTGACATATGTAAAATGTTAGGATAATGATTCATGCGTCCACCGGTTCGACATTTGGTGGATGCACACTCCTTAAAATGAATAATTATAAAAATAAAATTATAAAATTACCCTTAAAGCCATTTTTTCCTTGACAATACCCTTTTTTTCTTCTTGTCTCACCATCTTCCTCTTCAACCATTCAACACCAATTTCTCAACTTTCTTACCCCTCCCTCTCTTTCTACCTATTGAAGCAAACAAGTTCTTTAACACCTGGGTTTGTGAAAAACGTAGCACCAAATAAGAGGAATAGCAAGCCACAAACCAACAAAGAAAATGGGACCACAAAAAAAAAAAAAATTATCAGAAATGAGCTATTATTCTAGGTGCAAAATTAGAACGTACAAAGCTCCAAATGAGAAACTGACCGTTCAAAATGTATATCAATGTCTCTTGAACACCCAAACAAAATTTTAGCTCAATCCAATGGTGAAATTTTATAAATTGGACAAAATAGCAAAGCTACGTGCAGTATCAAAATTGCAGAAATTTCCTCTGTTTTCTTTTCTTTTTTCTGTCGATTGACTCCACTTACATGCACTCCACTTTTTGCTATATCATCCCAAAAACAGACCTGTTTATGTGTCTAATGGGCTACAAAATCATGAGCTAAATTGAGGATGATTTTATGAGAAAATGAACTCTCAAAATTTGGTGTCGTTGTCATTTAGGAAACCACTGATTTGGTGTTGCTATTATTTAGGAAACTTACTCAAGATTCTGATTTGATACTTAAATGCTTGATTTAGTTTTGCTAGGATTCAAATGATTTGTTTTTG